GCTTCAAATCATGGAAGAAATGGGTGTTTTGCCCAGGAAGAACACAGTTCAGCTCGTTGCAGATGCGTGGCGTGCCATTGGATTCATCAACGAGGCAAAGAGAATCTTAAACGATGATCAGAGCTCTGTCTTGATTCCCAGAACAGATGAAAAACCAGTAGAGGAGGACCTGCAAAGAGTTTACCAAGAAAAAACAAATGGCTCTTACAAAACCTTACCAGATAATGATAAACGCCCCACCTTGAATGCCAAAATGGTTGAAAACCGAGAAGACAATGTGCATAGAGGCGATCATCACGAACAAATAATGAAGGGTTCTTTCTCAAGCCTGCCAGAAATGACAGGCTCTACTATAACCAACCAGAATGGGTCAAGCACCTTCACCTTAAGAAGCCAGACTACACCGAAAAGTTCAAGAACTGCAACAAAAAGCATGAATATGGCAGCTAAAGCTATTCTGATTAGTAACAACTGTGGATTTAAACCGAACCCATTGATGGTGATTCAGAGGCCACTCCACGTGCAGATTGGTATTCACAGATACATTAACTCTTGCAGATTGGTGGCTTGACGGGCTGAGTGTGTGGAACAGGCAACCGTATAATAGGATCAACTCTATTCAGATTGAAGATTGTGTTGTATTATAGTCAAACATTAATGTATCATATTCATTTCTTCCCACTGTAGACATTTCAAAATGTATCTTCTCAACACCAATGCATACTGTTGTTACAATCCAATTGAGTAACTGAAAATTCTCAAATATAATTAGATTGAAACACACATGATTTAGCAGACAACAAAACTTTATACAAGGGCATCAGTTCTCCAAGGTGATTTAACTTCAAAGAAAATTCAGACGCAAATTACCCATTTAACATGAGATTCATCATTTGCCCAATCAAGGATGAAATTGAAAACATAAGAAATAAACAACAAATAAAAAAGATGCAGAATGCATAGCTGTTGGAAATGATGTGATCAGACAGTATTTGTGTCGACAAATGAACTCTTATGATCACACACAATATCAGCACCTATTGGGATTCACAATTTCACATCATGATATACCAAAGGGTGTTGCTAAAAAGGTGAAAAATGTCAACAATTTTATAAGTGGTGTAAATAGCAATTATGGTATAAATACGACTATTTACACCACCATAGTCAACTGTAATTTTTACACAAAAATTAAATATTAGAATTAGAATTTTCAAAAGAAAAAGTATTAAAATAAAAAATATTATTATTTTAATAAATTTAAATTAAAAATTGAAACATTTTAAAAAATAACAACCCAGTGAGGGTTTTTTTAAATGTTTTAATTTTTATATTTAATTTTTTAATTTATATTTATTTATTAAAATAATATTTCTAATCCAAATATCTAATTTCTTGTGTAATTAAATTACATTTAACTAGGGTGGTGTAAATACTCATATTAAACCCTAATTGCTATTTAGAACCACCTATAAAAATAAATTGTTACATTTTTAACCTTTCTAAAATTTCAAAATTATTTACACCCAAAGGTGGTACAAAAAGCAACACCCATATACATACATACATACATATGGCCAAAATGAACATTTGCAACTTTGAACTTGCAAGTTCTGTCATTCATACCAAACTAACCTGGCAAAATTGCCATGTATTGGGCCTTTGCAATACTGACAAAAGCAAATTTAGCAATTCTGTTGTCTGACTTGCAATGAGAAACTTATATGGTGAAATGTCATTTCCAAAAGCATCCGAAAATGCAAAAAGCAAAGCACATTAAAATCTCAATCAACATTCAAAATAACTCACAAGAATGTTTAAATGTAAATCCTATCATACATGGAAATAAACATGTGCAATGCATAAGCAAAGACAGGATCAATTGATGGATTCAGATTATGGGTAGTAATATATAAGGATGGCCATCAATGTGGTTCAACACAATTAACAAGACCAACAAATTACTAATTTCACAATCCTAAATTTAAAAAAAGTTGAGTCATCAGATAGGAGCGAAAGACAATTTTTTTAATCACAAAGATTATCATTTGAACTATGCACAAAATCATCATATGACTCCCTTTAGTATGAAAGGATTTCAGTTTCAAAAAGAACAGAAAAAGTATTCAAAAGAGTTTGCAATGAGATAGAAAAAGGCCTCAGAAGGAAGGCAGTAGTATTGTTGTAATCATTATTTCTCATAAAAACAATTCAACTATACTCATCATTGGCATAAATAAATAATAATTGGAACAAACACAAAAAGCTGTAATGTTTTTAAAGAAAAGATCAAAACTAAGAAAATTTGAGAACAGAAAGGTGGCCTCATAGAGAAGATTAGAATTATCAACATAAGAAAATTCAGACATATGCTTGTCAATTAAATACTTAAATCATTGGCCCCAAATCTGAAATTTTATACACTCAATAACACATCAATTCTAATCATCAAATCAGAATTAAAAGATCAAAACTTTAGGTTGCCCAAGAATGCAGAGAGAGAGAGAGAGAGAGAGAGAGAGAGAGGGAGAGAGAGAGAGAGAGAGACTAAAACCTAATATTTGAGAAAGACAGAAATAATTGGAGAATGCTGGTACTTGTAGCTAAGGAGGTTGTGATAAAGATCTAAGGTGTCAGGGAGCTTCTTAGCCTCAATAGAATCCACTATCTCCTATTGAGCAAATGGATATTTTTCATTCTACAAATTGAGCATCTATGCAAAACAGAAAAGACCCGCACACAAATACTGGAAATGAAGCGATCAGAACCTGTCAGGATTCATGTATAACATCACACAAATGTATCAGTGGATTGAGAAACATGAACTATATCGTCACCTCACTTCAGTATACCTAAAGTTTACAAGATACAAAATAAAAGAAAGAATAGGAAAATTAAAATCTTGAGTGCCCAGAACTTCTTAGAGGATTTGTGCAGCAATCAAAGACAATGTCTCAAGCACATTGCATGCACTCATCCCTGCACTTGTAATTTTCAATATCAGGGATATTTCATCTCAAAACACATTCAAAATAATAAGAACACACATAAAGGGAAAAAAATAAAATCAGAATGGGCATTCAAAACTAACTCACAAGAATGTTTAAGTGTAAATCCTATTACACCTGGAAAGCATAAATAAAGACTGTATTAAGTGGTGGACTCAGTTTATGGGTGGTGATATATCAGGATGGTCGTCAATGTGGTTCAACACAATTCTGACGAACGAGACCAAATCATTAATCATCACAGTCCTACAACAATTTCATTATAAAAAATTAAAAAATAAAAAATAAAAACATATAAAAACTTTTACAAAATGTGGAAAAAAAAAAAAAAAGTTTTGAGTCATCAGATAGGAGCGAAAGACAAATTTGTTTAATCACAAAGATTATCATTTGAACTATGCAAAAAATCATCATATGACTCTTTCTAGCACAAAAAGACTAGGTTTTTCAAAAAACGAAAACAGAAAAAAAAAAATTTATTCAATAGAGGTTGCAAAACCATTTGCAATAAGATTTTAAGAAATGCCTCAGAAGGAAGGCAGTAGTGTTGTTGTAATCAGGATTTATCATGAACACATATCCACTATAATCATCATTGGCATTTATAAATAATAGTTTAAAAACCCCTCAGAAAGTTGTTATCTTTTAGAAGAAAAATTAAAACTGAGAAAATTTGAGAGCAGAAAGGCGACCTCATGGAGAAGATAAATGTTAGCAACATAAGACAATTCAGACATATGCTTGTCAATTGAACACTTTAATCATCGGCCCGAAACATGAAGATTTACAGATAAACCCCAAAAACAATACAATTCTAACCATCAAATCAAAATAGAAACAAAGATTGGAACTTTGGGCTACCCAACTATAGAAATGGAGAATGAGAGATGCTAAAAACTAAGGTTTGAGAAGGGCATATACAATATTGGGGGAATACTGGTACTTATAGCGAATGAAGGAGATGATAGGGAGCTAGGGTTTTTGGGGAGTTTCTCGGCCTCAGTGGAATCCGCCGTCTACTAGACTACTACTGAGCTGATAGGTATTTTTCATGCTACAAATTAGGCTTCTATGTAAATGTAGTTGGGTTTAAACTTAGCCCACTATACTCACATATTATTAGGCAAATTATATCGTGCAGTGTGGTGCATAATCAATCATGTACCGCGCATCAAAAAGACGTTGTTTTATTTAATGGAAAAAAAAACAAAATCTGCAAAAAAATAATTATGTTCTTCAGTTTCATTTTGTATACACTGCAGTTTCAGTTCAACACAATTACAGTTTCATTTTGATATAACTACAGTTTCATTCAATATTTATACACTCAAATATGTGAAAATGTTATTTAATTTTATTTTATATACACTATAATTTCATTAAAACACAATTACATGACCATTTCGATATAATTACAGCTTCATTGTACAATATACACTCAAATATGTGAAATGTTATTCAGTTTCATTTTATATATACTGCAGTTTCATTTCACCACAACTACAGTATCATTTTGATATAACTGTAGTTTCATTTGATAACATAAAAATAATACGTGAGACATTGTCGGTTTAAATACACTGTAGTGTCACTCCGTTAACACTGCGCAGTGCATAATCAATTATGCAACGCAGTGAACGATATAACGACCCATATTATTAAAACTTGAACGACAATCGTTATCCCGAGATCAGGGTCCAAATTGCATTGTGGACCCTAGTCTTAAACGACCTAGTTTTGAATTTTTATTTTGACGGTGACCGTTTGCCCAATTCACGTTACAAAATTTATTTATTTTTTACTGTAAAGCATGTGTATGTGTCTTGTGTTATGGAATTCTGTACCTTAAATGTATGAATTCTGTATTAAATTAAAGTAAATATAACATGCACTTTTGTGTTTTGTGCTATGCGTTTTTGTATCTTATGTTATGCATTTTTGTGTCTTATGTTATGTAATTTTGTACATGAACTAAAGTAAATATAAAACATGTGTATGTGTCTTCTGTTATGCGTTTCTATGTCTCATGTTATGCAATTTTGTACCTTAAGTGTATGAATTTTGTACCTAAAATATATTAGTAGTTGTATAACACACAACATATTGTGTGTCTTATTTTACAAATTTATGGTCTTATTTTGCGAATTTATGGCTTGTATTATTAAATTATGTGCTTATAGGACATATATTATCTACATAAATCAAATTTGATAATAAGTATAAATATATAACATGTGAGTTAATACCTGATTTGGTCAATCGATTATTAGGATTTCACCACTTTGGTCATCGACTTCCAAACTAACTCAATTTCATCATCAAGTATGCAATTGTTAACTAAAATGATCCTAATCAGGACTATTTTTGTTTAGACAAAGGACTATTTTAGGTAAAAATTGCATAGTTAGGATGAAATTGAACAAGTTTGGAACTCGGGGACTAAAGTGGTGAAATTCTAATAGCTAAGATACCAAATTGGGTATTAACTCTATAACATGTGTATATGTATTGTATTGTGAGTTTTTGTGTCTAGTGTTATAAAATTTTGTACAATAAGAGTATTGATTATGTAACTAGAATAAATTAAATTTGTGTTGAAACATGAGAAACGTGAAACTACAAAATCTGTTGAAGTTTAAATATCAAAACGACATCCAGAGTCCAGAGTCCACAATGCTATGTGGACCCTGGTCCATGATAAAAATTGCTTAGAGCAAGTCACTTATAAATATACTAGTTTTTTCACGCGCATTGTGCGAATGAGATAATGCCAAATGATTATTTTTAAATAAGTACTTCAAAGTATATCAATGCAAGACTATATAGGATATGTTCATGCATAGGTAATTGAATTGTTGAATTTGTTTATTTAAATTAGTACTTCAAAGTATATAAATGCAAGATAATATAAGAGAGATTGATTATAATTGTCACTAAAATAAATATTTACAACTTTCTAATAACGCTAGTCTAAATACTTAGTTTAAAAACGATAGTTTAAATAAATACTACTTTTGATTTGAATTTCTCTAAGTCATCTTAATTCTCTTTTGGGTAACATTGTCATTGTCTTCATCTACAATACTTGTCTTCTTCTTTTTAATTGGTAGTGTCAAGTGTGTCATGTGCAATTGAGTTACTAGTGGTTGCATAGAGGGCAACGACATGCAATTAAATTATGGTGTAGAAAGTTTTAGATTTTTCTGACTATGTATATGAATGTGATCGTACCATGAACTATTTATATTGGAAGTACATGTTGATATTTGACAGTGGTAATTTTTCTCCTACATATTTTATATGTTGTGAGATGTGTATCATATATTTTCATTCGTTGGTTTCTTCCCGTCTTACAATACTTCCTCTTATAGTAAATGAAATATTGTATAAAGGCAGGCCCATGTAAGTTGGTTTTGGGTCATAGCCCCTAGGCAAAAATTGACAGGGTAAGAAAGTAATTTTCAAATTTCAATTGGTTCCTGGTTGTGAATTATAGCATCCGATTTTCAAATATGGGTGCAGAAAATTAGTTACCCATCAAAGATGTCTTTTGCTCATGCAAGATGGGAAAACCCCTTAAGGTTTGCTTAAACTTAATGTTGATGCTGCAATTAATTCAAATTCCAAAGCTATTGGTTTGGGTTGCATGCAACTCTTTGGGGGATTTTGTGGTTGCTAGAGGTCAACACTGGTTCAGGTGCTTTCAGTCTAAATTGGCAGATGCTATCTCCGTGAGAGAACCATTGAAATGGTTGAAAGAAATGAATATAGATAACGTCATTGTGAAAACAGATGCTCTTCTTGTCATTCAAGGATTGAAAGACATTGATTTTAGCTCATCCTTTGGTTTAACTCTTGATGACATATGTAGACTAGCTTGTAATTTTAATTGTATTAGCTTTGTGTTTGTTAAACGATCTGCGAATATAACGGCCCATATGTTAGCTAGGGAAGTCGTGTTCAATGCTGATTGT